TGTGTGTGTGTGTGTGTGAGAGAGCGAGTGTGTGTGTGAGAGAGAGCGCGTGAGAGCGAGAGAGAGCGCGAGTGAGTGTGTGTGTGTGTGTGTGTGAGAGAGTGAGTGGGTGAGTGTGTGTGTGAGAGAGTGAGTGTGTGAGTGCGTGTGTGAGAGAGTGAGTGTGAGAGTGAGTGTGTGTGTGAGTGAGTGTGAGTGAGTGAGTGAGTGTGTGAGTGTGTGTGTGAGAGAGTGAGTGTGTGAGTGAGTGTGTGTGTGAGTGAGTGTGAGTGAGTGAGTGAGTGAGTGAGTGTGTGTGTGTGCAAACGTTTGTCAGCACCCGAGTAGTGCAAACAATCCCACCCTGGTAATTTTTTGCCAGTGAAGTAAAAACATTCAGACTAAAACAGCTGTAATCAACTCACACACACACACACACACACACTCTCTCTCTCACACACACTCTCTCTCACACATACACTCTCTCGCTCTCTCTCTCTCACACACACACGTCTGCAGAAACCCTGTTTTAGTCATTATGCCGCCCGCAGTTGGAATCAGCTTCCAGAAGAGATCAGATGTGCTAAAACATTAGTCACATTTAAATGCAGACTCAAAACTCATCTGCTTAGCTGTGCATTTACTGACTGAGCACTGTGCGATGTCCGAACTGATTGCGCTGTATCTTATGTATAATAATTTTCAATTCTTTTAAAATTTTAAAGTTTTAAATTCATTTAAAATCTATTTTTAAGTCATTTTCAGAGTTTTTAAATTCCTTGTTTTATTTTTTATGATTATTTTACTGTCTTTTATGTAAAGCACTGTGAATTACTATTGTGTACGACATGTGCTAAACTTGCCTTGCCTCTGAAGGAGCAGCTGACGCTGTGCAATTAAACATCAGCTTAATTATGAGCACACACCATCAAACCAGGCGAGAGCATCAGAAGATGGACGTCTGGCTGGCAGCGGATTAGCAGCAGATCCGCATTTGACCAAACATGGAGAAAACTCAGCTAACCAGCCGTCAGCGAGCGGGAGACCAGCGAGAGTCCGGCAGCATCGTGCCGCAGGCTAATAATAGCGTCTGCAGGACGTTTCCGGCCCAGGAACGACCTCCATAATTCCCTGCCGTTATCTCTGCCCAAATATGTACCTAACAGGAGAAGCAAATTAGGGATTCTGTCCTCCAAAGGCCAGCAGATAAGGCAAGAGAGGACAAAGAGGGAATATTTTGCAGAGCCACAGAAATAGAACACTGCCTTTTACAGAAAGAGCGAGGATCGTGGGTAAATAACTCAGAGCAGCTGCACTTATATGGCACAGTCATTCCCGTTTATCTGAAGAGATGATATAAGAGCGTCTAACGCATGGATTCTGGCGCTCCAGGTCGTTTCTTCTGCTCTCATCAACACGGCTCATACAGATGTCGCCGGCGGTGACGGCGCTGGTCTCCATGGCAACACTCTTCCCGGGATAGGCCTGGTTCAGCCCGCGGCGCTCCGAACGGGAGTATTTATAGAACCGGATTCACCGGAGGCCTCGTCTTCCCAGAAGAGCTTCTCAATCTAAACAAAAGCAATCTCCAAAGAGCAGCAATTAACCTTCATTTGCAGGCGGCGGCTAAACATGAGCTCTGCTCACACGCTAAGACTGCCACCGAGTTTAAAACCACATCTGCACAAATCAAATTAATACCACAAACCCATACCATCTCAAGATAAATCAGGTCTCTTAAATTCTTTTATTAATTGAACAGGCTGCGGCTCACAGAACTAAACAGGGCATGTGCGAGTTTAAATACTGCAATACTTACATTTATATTGAAACTGAATACACATGGAGCAGAGATCCGTCGATATGATCGTGTATTTAAAGAAAGGTTGTATGAATAATGCTCAGAGAGAAAATACAAGAGATTACGCTGATTTAAATGCCAGATACTGTTTACTGTGTGACCAAAATACCAATAACAGCCTGGAAAAAAAGAGAGAACTGTTCATCATAAACAAGCCTGAAATACAGCAGGACTCGTCTCTGCTTCACTGCTTACAAATGCATAAAATGTGCATCTTACAACCATCTGCAACATATTATAATATAAAACCATAACGTAAACAGTCGGTTCATCACAGGTGCATCTTTAACGGCTCTAACACCTAACGAGCAGCACTCATGTTTATTAACTCAATCATTGCCTTTTGAAGTTTAATAATAATCACTTATCTGTGTGATCAAACCAAATGCAAGACGTTGAGAAACCCCGCACACATGACCTCATTACATCACATGACTCATCAAGGCATCTTCCTGGTTATTACACATTTTCAGTACACTTTTGTCAGAATACTTTTATCAGTCTGATCAAATAACAAGTTGAGAAAGAGAATCACTTCCGGTTCACTGATCACACTGGAAATGGAAGGTTGAGCGCATTGCATTGTGGGATAGTGTTCTGCTGTAAACCGCATGCTACTCTACACTTGCTGTGCAGAGGATACACTACACTATATACAATACAGAAATGAGTATGTGACACAGGCGTCCCCTACATAGTGAGCACTTGATTCAGACCCACCATAAAACACTCATTTATTTAAAATATAAAAGTAAAAGGGCAATTTTCTTAAAAATCATCATTCTGTCATCATTTACTCTCCATCATGTCATTCAAACCTGTATGACTTATTTCAATCATATAATGAAAGTCACTGGGGTCTGATATAAGCAATATCTTCTTTCGAGCTCCAGAGAAGAAGCTCAGGTCTGAAGGACACGAGTGAGAGCAAACGGTGCTGATTTTAGGGTGAACTGTCGCTTTAATGTACAGCGCTGGCATCTGATTGGCTGCAGATCCGGACAGAAGACAGACATGCTGATAAAGCACATAACGCACTAATGCCTCACGTCTGATGATCAGACGCCGCTCATTACCGTCTCGTTTAATTGAGTTAATTCAGTCTTACCAGGCCGAGGCTGAAGGTGAAGAGCAGGCAAACAGATGGGCTGAGGACAGCAGTCACTTTCTGGAAAACAGGAAGACACAAGCTGTTAAAACAGTGCGGAGAGAACAGGTGTGCTGCGCTGCGGTCACATGACCAAACACCTGCAAACACACGTTTCATTCAGAGCTGCATCTAGCTCGTCGAGTCACACGTGTTTCTATAGCGCTTTATACAATAGAGATCTACAACACACTTTCACAGAAATAAACCGGAAAGCAACAGTGAAGCAAACTTCATCAAATATGAAGCAAAGTCAATTTCAGTAGTAAAGCAGCTACACACCAGTGTCGTTATTCTGATCACAATCTGTATTGTTAAAAGCGCCATATAAATAAAGGTGACTTGACTTTATCAATTCAGTTCAACATTCATTCTGTTTTTGTTTTTACTCTGCCTACGTCGTTTAATGTCATTAATAAAACAATACAGTTATGAGAAAATAAACCAGTCAGAAATGAAGATGGTTATTGTGCATTTTAAACAAAATAGCTTAGTGTAAATTATTAGAAATAATTTGATAAATCACGGAGATCAGTCAGATGGTTCCTGCATCATTAACATATGACCCGCCCACACCGTGTGAATGACACCGATCATGACAGAGCTCATTAACATATGACCCTCCCACACCATCTGAACGACACCGATCATAACAGAGCTCATTAACATATGACCCTCCCACACCATCTGAACGACACCGATCATAACAGAGCTCATTAACATATGAACCGCCCACACCATCTGAACGAGACCGATCATGACAGAGCTCATTAACATATGACCCTCCCACACCGATCATGACAGCTCATTAACATATGACCCGCCCACACCGATCTAAC